TCTTAAAGGGCTTTTCCAATCAAGGCAATTCAGTGACTCTAATTCTTTGTGGCTACAAAGACTACTTGAACCCCAGCAATACCAAGCAGCTATCTAACACCCAAGTCCTTCATTGCCTGCATTCTCAAAGACCTAGAAGTTTCAAGCATATGAAAAACTGATCTACACACTACCCCACTCCACAGGGGTCAGACTGGACTCAGAATTGCTGTGTGACTAGAATTCCATCCCATCAGCAGCACTGGAGACAACAAAGCCCATGCTGCTGGAAACTGGCATGGCTGTGAATCACTCCTGTGCTCTGCCCTGTGTGTTTGGGAAGCAGCAGAAGCACTTACCCACAGGGCTCCTGGAAGTAGGTTGTGTCCGTGTGACGATCCAGAGCCAACTTGGTGTAGGCGGTGTCACCCCGAGAGAAGTCAGAGGTGAAGTACCACATCCTGCCATAAATGGTCTCCCTGTGAAAGAAGAGGGCAGTCATCACACAGCACTGGTGGGGATTGGTGTGGAGGGAAAGCAGACCCTCTCCTGCATTTGAGGAGGGGAGCCATTTCCTCTTGTCCTGTCCCTTGGGCCTTGGTTGAACAGACCCACCCCCACCTCTCTCCACCCTCCTCCAAGGGACTTGCACAGATCCAGAAGGTCTCCCCTCAGCCTCCTTTTCTCCAGAGTAAATTAAAGCAGAACAACTTCACACAATTCACATTATCAAGAGACCAGGCTTCTCTCTTTCCTCCTCAAAAGACTGATGGCAACAAGTCTTGCTTCCCCTCCACAAGTATACATGATCTTTCCACACCAAACAACAGCCTCAGTCAAATCAAGGAAGCCACTGAGAGACGTGAGGAGTTGCCAGAGTGCAGCCAGCCCTTGCTCCAACCCACTGCAGGGTTACCCAACAACCCCATTTCTTGTCCTTAGGATCCTGTGTTTTCACTCACCTCCCCCCTGGCAACGTGCAGGGAAGGGAAGAGGCAGGAGTCAAGGACAAACAGCACTCAGGGGTGAGGGTACCTGGAGAAAAACATTGCCTGGATATTCCTTGGAGCCCCTCATTTCTATTTGGAGTGACTATATGTTAAAAGAAATCCCTCCTCTTCCAATGGCCCAAGGCAAGTTAACCTGTTCTCTGACTTGGAACTCCAAGCCCAGCCTGCCACGCTGTCGGTGTGTTTTAAACCAACACACAAGAAACATTTCTCAGTATTTTTCTTTAGCAAGAGCCACAAATTGTTTTTGATCTCCTTGGCTCCCAGGGCCAGGGATGCCCTCTTGACCTTTCAAGTCATAACAGGAAATGTCTCTCCTTGCAAAGCTCAACTCTTCCCAGCCAGGCTTCCTTCTGTCATTCCTCTGTGCACGGTCCCACTATCACAAAAGTCATCGTATGCCCCCGAGGCAGCTCCAGAACCTCGTGACTCCAGGCTCTCCCCTGAAGAGGGGTCAGATCCCACAGTGCAATATTCCACCTCTGGTCAAGCGCAGGGGCCAGAGGCTGTAGAAGACCCAGGCCTTTTGTTTGCAAACCAGGCCACGCTGCACAATACACAGGGATAAGGATAAGGGCAGTACCTTTCTAAACAAAAATAAACCAACAGCCTCCTCTTTGTGGCTTCTCTACAAAGCCCTCCCAGGGCAGCCCTAATTACCTGATTAAGCTGATCCTTTCTGCCAAGATTTCCGTGTCCTCTTTGGTGGGAGTGACATTCTCTACAAAAGCAATCCCATATAACAAGAAGTTTTGCAGGAACTCTTTCAGCCCCTCGTCTGTCTCCAGGAAACTCCGGCAGTCCACGGATGGGACCTGGGCTTGGCGATAGATTTCTGCATTCCAGAGAATCCGGGGGTGCATGACCTGCTGCTTCTGCCCCTCGTAGCTGTTCTTCACCAGCCACTCCAGCCCATATCGTGTCACGTGCCCGTCCGGCCCTTCGACAAGGGAGAAGGGACACAGTCACCACAATCACACTCACCAGCCCAAGACTGTGGAGAGCTCAACCATCAGTCCTCACCTTTGGAATTTTGGCTGGTGACAGGCTCTTTGCACCCTGTTGCCACCCAAAATATTATCTGGTTAAGGTCACAGGTCTCAAAAAGCATCGTCATTGCTACAAACAACTCCAAATTCAGAGCTAAGTGTTTCAGCTTCAGTGGTTTTGCTTTCTAGGGGCTGGACTCCAAGGAGAAGTAAAAGCACAGAAGACAAGGCCATAAAGATAAGCTCCAAGAAAAGAAAGGAAGTAGCTGGGAAGCTGAGGAGAAAGGACAGAAAAATGTGAATTCTGATCAGAAATACCAGCTCAAATAGGACAGGAACAGGGCAAGGAGGAGAAGGGGAGCCGGGGCTGAGGAGGAGGAGGAGAAGGGGAGCCGGGGCTGAGGAGGAGAAAACCAACTATTTCTTGAGCAATCTGTTCACTACCTGCATTGCTCTTGTGTTCAAGCAAACCAATAAAATACCCAGACACTGAAGATACACACATCTCTACCCAAAAAGGGCTGAGGGAGAATAAAAATAAACACAAATTTAAGACTGAGGTGTTGTAAACACAGAGAGCAATGTTTAGAATCTGCTTACAGCCAGATCTCCTCCCAAAACATTTACTGATGAGATCAGGCTGCCCTCTCCCAACAAACCTAAGGGTGAGATCCACCAAGGAGTCTCCCTCTGAGTAGGGCTGGTGGTCCATAAACAACGCAGGGCACGGCCACTTTGCTACTCACAGGTGAGGAACAGGGTGGTCTCATCTACTCGGACAGCCTTGGGTTTGATCCCCAGGTCCACACTAGCCGTGTCCAAGCTGCGCTGGTTGGTCTTGGTGTTGTAGCAGGAAGCTGAGCGGCAGTGGTCCCGTAGCCAGACAAAATCAAAGCGCATCAGGGTGTTTGCATACCTGAGCTCTGCAAAGAAGGACAGGCTCAAAAAGTGCCTTGGACCCAAGAGCAAGTTATCATCCCACTTAGAGAGCATGGAGGGGGCTGGTGGACTTAGCACCTCTTCCCATAAATTAAGCTGGTTTGTCCCATGATGAACACCAGGCAGAATATCTTCACAGAAGACCTTGTCTGTCAGTGATCTCACCATGGTCTCCCTTCTTACCAAGTCTACAGGCACCAGGAGGAAGGGGCACAGCTAACAAGCATGGTGCTCACATACTTACATCCATCATCTCCCTTCAACGAGTAGTAAATTCAGAGCCGAGCAGCAGCTGCTGAACATAACCAAGTTGTAGAGCCCAGCACAGGAATAATAACCAAGTAATCACACCAACATCCAAACTATATCACAGACAACATCATGGGCTTGATGCAAAGCTTTGATATCCATTTAGGAGGACAATAAAGCTTCTCCTCCTAGTTCCATCCTGGCAGAGGCAATGGAAGAGCCCTACCTGCTCTAGTCCTGCTCAGCTTTGAAATCCCAGAATTGCCCAGACTGCAAAAGCCCTTTAAGCTCATGGAGTCCAACCATGAACCCAACACTGACCAGTCCCCTATGACTAACCCATGTCCCTCAGCACTGTGTCTACACGACTCTTCAATCCCTCCAGGGATGGGGACTCCACCACTGCCCTGGGCAACCCCTTCCAATGCCTCAGAACCCTTTCAGCAAAGAAATTCTTCCTCACATCCAATCTCACAGCCCACTCCTCCCCAAGCATTTGGGCCTCATGGAAACTCATGGAATTGGTCCTGGCCCATGGATCCAGCCTGGCCAGACCCCTCTGCAGAGCCTCCCCACCCTCCAGCAGATCAACACTCCCACCCAGCTGGGTGTCCTCTGCCAACTGACTGAGGGTGCCCTCCATCCCCTCGCCCAGATCATGGATGAAGATGTTAAACAGGACTGATCCCAGCACTGAGCCCTGGGGACACCACTGGTGACCAGAATCCCAAGTATCTGAGGCCACTTTGCAGTGGGAAAACAACAATAACCTTTCTTTGGACCACAGTGTTGGAAAAAGTACCAAGAAATTCCCTTTGCTTGGAGTGACTTGGACTCCAAGTGACTTGGAGTATTCACATCTAACTGGCCTCATCACCCAGACAGACAGACAGACACTCCACTAAACCAAACAGGACAGGGGGAAACATGTGCCCCAGTTGCCAAATCACCTCCAAAACCAGAAGGATAAAAAAAAATCAGCATGAGACAGCATTTATAACTGTGTCACTTCACATTAAAGAAGAAGCAAGGAGAGTGTGTTTGAGCCTCTCACAGTGAGGTACAATTTGCATCAAAAAGGCTTTTATGTCCCCCCTGCCTCCTGCTGCTCATGTCACCCCACACAGACAGACAGGCTGCCTGCAAACCTGCCTCAACCACTGCCTGTCACCCACCAACCAGCCCTCAGCTTCTCAAGGGACACGAGTGACTGACAGGGCGAGGCTCTGAGGCAGCTACTGGTCAGGAATCCCTTGATCTCATCTCTCATTTATCATACAGGACTTACCACCAGCAGATAAACCTGCTCTGTCCTGCCTTTGGGAATTCCCAGAGGGAATATGAAACACAGACTCCAGGGTGCATCCCTCTAACACTGGCCACTTCAGGAGAGAAAAAACCCAACAACTAAATCACTCCCTTAGGGTACAAGGTCAGGAAAAATCATAGAATCATTGTTGTGAGTGGGAAGGACCCACAAGGATGATGGAGTCCAACTCCTGTCCCTGCACAGGACAATCCCAACATTCACACCATGTCCCTGAGGGCCTTGGCCAAATGCTGCTGGAATCTTGTCAGGCTTGGTGCCATCAGCACCTCCCTGGGGAGCCTGTTCCAGTGCTCCACCACCCTCTGCCTCAAGAACCTTTTCCTCATGGCCAACCTCACCCTCCCCTGCCACATCTTCCTGCCATGTCCTCTGCTCCTGGCATTGGTTGGTGGCCAGAGAGAAGAGATCAGCACCTGCCCCTCCTCTGCCCCTTGGGAGGAAGTTCTAGACCCCCAGGAGATCTCCTCTCAGTCTCCTCTTCTCCAGGCTGGACAACCCAAGTGACTTCAGCCTCTGCTCTCACTCCTCTCCCCCACAGACTCAAAAGCAACACCTGCACCCAACACACCTACCTAGATGGTCACCATGTATCTGCCAGGCACACTTGAGGGACTCTGGGGCTGTGTGATGCCCACGAGCTGCAGCAGTGAGGACGGTCCTTCTGTCACGGGACAGCCACGTTGAGCCACGTCTAGTGCTGCCACTCAGCTGGCACGGCACCTTGAAGAGACACACCAGCTTCCTGCACCACATCCTGAGCAGCCAGGAGAGAAAGAGGGGAAAGAACAAGGTGACTGGGCTGTGCTACCACATCCAGCCCCATCTCCAGCTCTGTGCTCTTACATCAGGCACTGCAAGAGCTCCTGGGAAAGCTGGTATCATCCTCCACAACTGTCATCTACTGACAGAAGAGGGAAATCTAGTCCACTGTGGAAGAAGAGAAAAAAGGGGGATGATGACTGGCAGCCTGGCCAGAGGAATAAATCACCTCCCAGGAACCACTTGGACATAAAAAATAATCAACCACAGAATTTGGAAAGTCTTGTATTATAGAATCCCAGACTGGTTTGGGTTGGAAGGGACCTTAAGGCTCATCCAGTCCCAACCCCCCTGCCAGCAGCAGGGACACCTTCCACTAGACCAGGTTGCTCAAAGCCTCATCCAACCTGGCCACAAACACTTCCAGGGAGGAGCAGCCACAGCTTCTCTGGCCAACCTGGGACACTGGCTCACCACCCTCACACCAAACAATTTCTTCCTCACATCTCATCTCCATCTCCCCTCTGCCACTTTCAAGCCATCACCCCTTGTTCTGTCACTCCCTGCCCTTGGCCAAAGTCCCTCCCCACCTTCCTGGAGCCCCTTCAGGTACTGGGAGGCTGCTATAAGATCTCCCTGGAGCCTTCTCTTCTCCAGGCTGAACAGCCCCAACTCTCTCAGCCTGTCCTCACAGCAGAGCTGCTCCTGCCCTCGCATCACCCTCAAACAAGCTAATCCAATCTACACACATCAGTTGGAAACAGAAGGAGGAGAGCCAAGGGTGTCTTGCTTCATTTTGTGACCACCATAAAGCACAGCAGAAAATAGTCCTGAGAAGAAACAAATGAGATCCCAGGATTTCTCAGGCAAAGCAATTCCAGGAGAGACAGCTCTGTGTTCAATGTTCAGCGTGAAACGCTGGCAAAGCCTTGTCTGCTGCAGGTCTTGTCCCCTCTCCAACCTTCCCAGTTTGAATTCACCATTCCTGGAGAGAAGTAGAGGGATCAGGGAAGTAAAGTGACCTTGGTTAGAGAAGCAAGAACTAGAGGAATGGAGTAATTAGGTCAGTTCTAGAAAAAGTATGCAAAACAAGGAGGAGGAGGAGGAGGAAGATCTCTGCTTGTGCTGAAGGACACAGCTGGCACGGAAGAGAAACCAACTGAGGTTAATTTTAGGTGAGAGATTAGAAGGTGATTTCTCAGAGGGAGATTTGTAACAACTCTTCAGCACAAGGAGCAAGGGCAAAAACACTTTACATGCTTTCAGATACGAAGCCACGGTGTAAACAGCCTGTCATGTTTATGAAATTCTGGAGGTCAGGGCTCAACCCAGCAGGATTTTAACAGCTCTTTGGTCTGAGGCACATAGAAATGTGGTACCACTGGATAAGACACAGGCTCAGAAAGCATTTCTTATCCTAGACTTTTGATTTTCCCTCATTTTCTTATCTGAAGAGTACAGGCACTGGGGCTTCAGCTGTCCAACCTGCTTCTCTACTTCATAGGTTGACTCCGTGCAGAGATCTCCAAAAAAATCAACAGAGGTGCCACATTCCCAGACAACACTTCG